AAACGTTTATTCCGATTTCGATCAGTTTTTTTTTTAATCTTATTGAAACATTAAACTTAAATGGATGTATCTCTGAGATACACCGCGACCTATATAGTACACTTTATGACCGCGACCTCCGAAGGGTTAAAAACAATAAGAGGCTGCTACTACCGGCGATAAGAACTTTTTCGAATAAACACATAATATGATTCTAGCATGCAAAAAAATTGTTTAAATTTTTAGAAATAAATACCTACCACTCAGTGCCTCGAATAAAATAATGATGATGATTGATAATTAATTTAGTATCCAAGTCATTTTGTAGAAATACTTAGTTATTTAAACCAAATCATTTTATAATAAATATGTATATACATATATAGATACTGTGTTTTTATCTTAGTACCCAATCTGTAATCGTTACTTAATAATGGGGATAACAATTACACAAAACTTTCTGTGTACAAAATACTGTACACAGAACAATTCTAATAAATGAAATCTAAATACCTTCTTAACTCAAAACAATATAAATTACATCTATCTTTTCGGTTAGTAGGGCAGTACATGGGTATATTAAAAAGTCTCTAAATTACCTATTATTATCTAGAGATTCAGAAGCAATGTCAATCACCGGAATTATTCACTTTTGTTTTATATCTAACCAGAAAAGATATATGAGGTATTTAGCCTTGAGAAATAGTTTTCTTTTTGAAGGTCCAGATCAACAGGGCCGGACCACCTAAGAAACGCAGGTCAGTATAATCCGTAATTCGGGCCATCCGAATATTTACTGATGAAACTGCCGTCTTAAAAATGCAAATTGTCAGCGAAAAAATAGATACTGGGAATTCACCGACTGTACTCTTAATATCTTAAAATATATTTATTGAGATAAAAAAAGAGTAATAAAAATAACATTTTTAGGTTCGCATATAAAAATAGATACTTAACATTCATTGTTTTTTAGGCCAAATACGTGGAGCATTAGAGTATCATTATTAGATTATAAATCATTATTACGATATTATTTATAATATATATATGACGGACCATATTTTCCGAATATGTGGCCATTACCCTTACGTCCCAGGATGTCACAATTGTGTGGGTCTGATTAACAAGCAAAATGGGCTTCAAAAGTATATATTAACGTGTTTGCACCGATACGACACAACATTGTTGGACATCTAGTATGGGTTTCACTGCACGTGGTTCACTTAGTTCCCACATTTACGTTGGCATTAGAGGTTGTAATACCAGCTTTATTATTTTTCTGTGTTTCTGCGAATTGTGATGGTGAATACAGATAGTTTTCACCTAAAATTAATTTAAACAGGGTTTTGAATAGAAATTTACTTAGAAAACGCATTGTTTTACATTACCTCAAAAATATTCCAAAAAGATTTTAATGCGCGTACTTTGACGCGGCATCCCAAATTTACCGGTAAGAAAGCACTGAATTTGGAAAAGCTTGTAGCCAGTACAGATCATGTGTATGAATTCCTCGATAAACTGAAGTCCGACTTTAAAGTGGAAAAGTGATAACTACGATGAATTGTTTGCCCCTCGAAATTATTTTTAACACGGATATGAGGAGTCGAAAAGCAGTAGTATTGACAATGAAGTACCAAGGCTTAGTATCAGCCAAAAAAAGTCTAATACAGCCCCAATATAGGTAAATCAGCCATTTGAAGGTAAAGAAATTCCTCCTTTGTACGAAAAGATGAAAATAAAAAAAAACATATGGAAATACCGTTCAAATGTAATTAAAGTTTATAATGCAAAGATGGTTGAGGAGTTGATATTTGTGATCAAATTTTTGAGACCTACCAAACATATTTTAATACCAGAAAATGGACATTTAAAAACAGTCTACACCTATTTGACACAGCTACTGTAAAGTTGAATGGAATATGGTATTAACTGTAATATAATAGGGCTAGCAAGAGGAAAATTATGGTTTATGGAACAAAAACAAATCTAAATTATGAAGACTTTCCTGTGGATGAAACTGAAGAACCGTCTACTAAGACGGAAAGATATACGCCGCTATCTTGTAAGGATAAAATATTAGATGGATTTGATCACTGGCCGGTACATGAAGATAAGAAAAATCCTAACACTTATAGAAATCAAGTCGACCAAGGATCAAATGCATTGAGTTCAATGTATACTTATGCTTACAGCAAAATCAAAAATGCTTTAAAAAGGTTTATTAATTTCTTAACATTTATTAATTTTCTTACTTAAGACAAAACATTTTCAATATATTTTCATTGTTATAACATTTTTGCTAGTATCATTTTGTCTAACATCAATTTTTGTTTCTAAGAAAAATAAGGATTTCTAACAAGGTATTAATAACTAAGGTAAAATTTGATCTGCAAATTCAAAAAATGTAGGATCGGGAACGTAAGGTTCATTTTTGTTTATTGCTTTTGTTTGCAACTTTTATAATGTTTGATTGTTATTATTTTTCTTTTGTATCTTTTAAAAGTCGGAGATCCCGTAAAGATACAAAATATAAAAAAAAATAAATATATTTTATACGTCAGAGTGTATCTATACTAAAACAATTTTTAATTGAAGGTGATTACTTGGTAACATCACACTTAACGAAGCTCTTAACGATAACTTTTCAACGAAATCATATTCCGCTTATCAATTTTGCAGAGGAGTTCCAAAAAAATGTTAATTATTTATTTAAACACATAAGTGATTACGTAAAAATTAAATCGACGACTAAGACCGAGATAATTATTAAATTATCATATGTCTTTTAACATGTGCCTTATAGTTGCCTAACAAAATAAAGTCAAATTTTATTCTTATTAGAGAGTACCTAATCCATAACTTCAATAAACAGAAAACTTTGGAAAGTACTTATTTTTTTCATTAGACTAAAAACAATTTGAAATTTCCTCATACGATCTCGTCATTACACATCATTCTCTATATTTTATAGAATTGCTGTGTGCTGTAAACGTTATATTTGTTTTTTTTTTTTTAACTTAATTTGAAAGTTTCATTGTATTTATTTGTTTATATAAATATAAAAATATATTATGAAGTTCACATAAATTAAAATGAAGTAAGCTAAACCATTATCATTTGTTTATTTCAGTCAATTCTGAAAATATGAAATGAAGATGGCACTAACTACTAAAGAGTTAATAGCTTCGTTAGAAGAAGACTCAGATTGTGAAAATGCTGACTTACTTAATGTGGTTTATTTGCCGCCGAGATTAGATTAGAAAGTTTCTGATGTATAAGACATTGGTGATAATATTATTTGTGAAGAATCAATCAAATCGGTTATTGTAGGTACACATGAAATAGAAGTGATTGGGAATTCTGACAGAAGTCTCAAGTTGTAACAACAGATACTTATTCGTGCTCAGTAGTAATTCAACATAAGTCTGATTGATATTTAAACAATATAAAAGCCAACAATTGAGGCAAGTCATATTTTGAAGTTTTTTCACTTTTTTTATAAAAAAGTAATTGAGAGCATTCTACATTTTACAAATATTTGTGCATCCCAGAATAACCCTCACGATTTTGAAATGAATAACAGATTTAAACAAAATATATTAGCATATGTATATTATCTGGTTTCCACTCTGCTTCAAGTTGATATGCATTGGTCAAAGAATGAGGATAAAGACGTGCACATTATAAGAGATCGCATGAGCCGACATAGATTTATATTTATAATTTATAAAAGTGAAGAAACCGCTGCATCAGTGTCCAACTTAGTACATGGACGTCAAGCTAAATTTGCTTTACCAGATGAAACCAGATTCGACAATATTGGCCACATTACAAAAAGAGACGATAGTGCAAAAATGTAGGATGTGCAAAAGTTATACTATTTATTTATGTAAAAGGGGTAGAATACATCTACACAAAATTTTCACCTTAAAATTTAATTTAAATTTAAGATACAATATGTTCTTTTTAAAAAGTGTACTGTTTTCCTTGAAAATGAGAAAAAAATCTCTTTGGTTGTAAATTACTCTTAATTTATGTGTTTTTAATCCAATCTAATAAATTAATTGTCAAATTTCTCTGTGTATATTGAACGGCCATTAATGGGTTAATACTATATAAAGAATAAACTTGCCTCAAATTTACTTTACTTACCTCAAAACTATTTTAAAGTTAATAATAAAGTCCATTTAATAAATACATGCCCAAGAAATAGAACACACTACGCCTAAGCACATATATAATCTGAATCTGGAAGGAATAAACTAAAATATCATTTTTCTCTCATTACCATTCTTTCTCAGAACGTAAATATATATGGACCAGCAAAATATTACCGATGATTCAAACTATTTAATGAACTTGTCTCACTATATACTCGTGAATCGCATCAATTTATATTGTTACGGGGGCAAATTTATCGGACTTTTTTACTTATTTACATGGGTACATACACAATAAAAATGACCACGGTAAAAATTGACTGCTGAAATTTTACATGGTTGCCGCTACCGTTTAGTTAAATTTGTAGATTAGTCACCTTTAATTGAAAATTGTCCGACTATAAATGTGAGAGGTATGTTTACATATATAGATAAGGGTAAGTACCTACCTAAACATATAAGCACTCGGATTATTGTGCAGTGCTGCTGACAAATCAAAATTTGCTCGGATGCACCGCGATCGACCCATAGCAGATCGACCTACCTTAAACCGCCATTGCAACGTTGTCAATTCTAATAGCATGACTTGTAAAGTTAAAGATTTCTTTGATTATGTACTTTTAAAAGTATTATTCTTCTCTTTTTGAAAAGATATTTTCTTTCACTGAAAATTATTTATTCAAATAGTTTTAAGTATTTAGTCATAATTAAAGGTGGCGTAAATTCCAATTAGAATTATCCAAGATTACATTGAAGGTGCAGATTTTTACAAACCCTTTTCACTTTTCACCCGACGCAACATCAAACTTGCTTATGTTTCTTTTTTCGATTGTCTAACAAAGAAGTAAGACTACCATATTTACTTGTCAAGTCGTTTTCATTTGTATCGTTAAAGCTTCGAGACGCAAAGCTATTATTAAAATTACAATTGGTAGGAAGAATATTTACATCATCGGGAGAAGCGTCGGAACCATTGGAAGTGCTTGAGTTACTGTGATTAGTATCGAAAGCTTCACGAGAAGTATTGGAAAATATACTAATATCACCTTCGTGTGGCTCTAGTTTGCAGGTTACAGTCATAGCTCCATGATGCTCAGGTCATGCAACGTTGTAAAAGTTGTTAAAACTCAATCTTACGCTTAGTAGTCGCAAATTCATGTTGGCACTTTTTGAAAGCAGTTCCAAAAAGTTTTTAACTATAATATCGTACGTTTGTGATGAATGTTTAACCTAAAAAATAAGATTATTAATATAATGGACGAATAATATAACGTTAATCATAAAAATATGTTCTATAAAAATAATATAAACATTTTTCCATGGGTCGTCAATAATTATGTTATTTTATTTGCTGTGTTTAGTGTGTGAAGTAAGAATCGTCGAGGTAACTACGATAAGTCTGATGTAAAAACTACCAAGTTTTCAGGAAGGAAACAAAACTCTCCCATATTTACCTTTCGGTTCTGATTCATTAGGTAAATTACTTTTTTAATTTAATTTACAATCGACCAACAGAATTTTATTGATATTAAGTAAATTTACTCAATTACGCGTTCTGCGTTGACATACGACCGTTTAAACTTCAATATTGACCCCCTCCTTCTTGAAAGCAATCTTTAAATCCTAGATAGAGCCCATTTCCATTTCAGTTTTGCTGCTTGTTCTATCGCGTCTGCTGTCTTTGTTCTGGTTCTGATTCACTGGTTACGTTTTCTATCTTTAAGTGATATACCCAACATTTGTCTCTCCATCGCTCTTTGTGCCTTCCTTATTCTGTCCAAATTGGCCTGTGTAAATGTCCATGTCTGTGTTCCGTAGGTGAGAACCGGTATTATACAGGAGTTGTATACCTTGCTTCGTAAGTATAGAGGGATTGTTTGATTCTTTAGAACGTAAGATAGTTTGCAAAAGCTGCCCATCCCATTCTTACTCGTCTCGATATTTCGGCTGTTTGATTTTCTCTGTTAGTTCTCATTGCTTGTCCTAGATAGATATACTCATTTACCTGTTCTATTTTTTCTGTTTGTATTTTTATTGCCTCTGGGTATTCCGTGTTTGTCATTACTTTTGTTTTGTTGAAGTTAATTTTTAGGCCTTTTTGCGGTGATTTTTCATGAAGTTCATTCAGCATTAATTCTAGTTCTTGTCGTTCCGAGGAGATCAGGAGTATATCATCCGCATATCTAAGATGATTTAGGTACTTTCCGTTAATGCACATTCTTCTGTGTTCCCAATCTGTTGATTTTATTATATCTTTGAGGGTCAAGGTAAACAGTTTAGGTGAAATTATATCGCCTTGTCGGACTCCTCGTTTAACTTTTATATTATCCGTTATTAATTTGTCGTCCAGAATTACGGTCATGGTTGCGTTTTGGTAAATATCATGTATCAATCGGTATCTTGAATCTATGCTACTATTGACCAGAGCTTCTTCCACCGCTCAGTGTTCAATGCTGTCGAAAGCCTTTTCATAATCTATGAATGCTAAGTACAGCGGAAAGTTATATTCATTCACAATTAAGATTTTAAGCGCATGTAGATGGTCGATTGTGCTGTATCCTTTCCTGAATCCGGCCTGTTCCACTGGTTGGTAGTTATCAAATTTATAGGTTAGTCGGTTGTTTATTATTCTTGTGAAGGTTTTATATAGTTGTCACAAAAGGGAAATAGGACGGTAGTTGTTTAGGTCTGTTCGGTCTCCTTTCTTATGTATTAAGATTGTGTTGGCATTTCTCCATTGTTTAGGTATTTTACCTTCAAACAGACATTTGTTGAACAGTATTTTTAGCATTTTTTTTATCGTATCTCTTCCTTCTTTTAGCAGTTCCACCAGTATTTGTTCTCACCGGCCGCTTTATTTCTTTTCATGTCGTTTATGGATTTTTCGATTTCATCTTCAGTTATTTCTGGTAATACCTCTGAGCCAACATTTTGTATTTTCCTCGAGGGATTCTGTTTAGATGATAGTGGTGGGTCATTTTTAGAACTGTATAGGTCTGTGTAATATCTTTCTGTGATTTTTACTATTTCTCCTAGATCTCTTTCTTCATTGTTCTCAGCTTTAAGCATGATTAGTTTTCTTTTTCCTATATTTGTCTTCATTGTTTTTAAACTTTTGTTCTTCTCTATGATTTTCTTAGTATTTCTTTAAATCTTCCTTTATCTGTTTTCTTATGGTTTTGATCAGTTCGGTAAACTCCACTGTATTTCTTTTGTTATCGTTCAGGAGTTGTCGTCGTTTTTTGGCATATCTTGTGATTTAGCGCTAATTTTTTGTTGTTTTCGCTTTTGTTTATTAGCAATCTTCAGGCCTACTTCTAGTAGTTCTGTTGTTATTTTATCGTTTAATTCGTCTAGTTGCAAACCCTTTAGATGTGATATGTTACTTCTTTTTAGCTGGTTTATGTATTGCTCTTTGCGTTCTTTAAGAAATTGTGTATCTATCTCTTTTTTAGATGGTTTAAATTTTTGTCTGTCTGTTGTGGCGTTAATTTTGATTTTGGCTCTAACAATTCTGTGATCACTTCCTACGGAAACCATGTTTATGACAGTAACGTCTTGTACTATGTTCTTTTCTTTGGATAGGATGTAATCAATCTCATTTTTTGTTGAACCATTGGGTGCGATCCACGTCCATTTTCTCTGTGGTTTTTTATTGAAAAAGGTATTCATCGCATACAGACCGTTCGTTTCCATATAGTTCATCAATGTTTCTCCTCTTTCGTTTCGTGTTCCATATCCAAAGTTGCCGATTTTATTTTCTGATTCTTCTAGTTTTCTCCCTAATTTGGCATTGAGTCGTCTATAATAATTGTGTAGGTGCTTTTGTATTTGTTTACTGTTTGTGTCAATGATTCGTAGAATATATCCACTTCTTCATCCATATGTGATGATGTAGGGGCGTAAATTTGTATGATCTTTAAACTTATATTTTTATTTATGTCCATTATTAGAGCCGCGATCCTTTCTGAAATTCCAATATATTGTCTAATCTTATGGACATGCTGATTAGAAATAAGAAAACCGACACCAGCTAATGATTCTTCTTCAGTTCCTTTATAGTATAGTACGTTCCCGGATTCCAACTTCATACAGGCTTCATCTTTTCTTTTTATCTCACTTAATCCTAGTATATCCAATTTTTCATCTTTTTTACTTCTTCTTCCAGTTCGGCTAGCTTTTCGTCTCTCATCAGTGATCTGACATTATAAGTTGCAATATCCAGTTTCGTTGCTTGTTTTCGTTGTTTCTGGCAATCTTCTAAAACCCAGGGATTCTTAGCACCCTCTGCTTTTTCCTTGATCCTACCATTGCCTTGGAAGGTGACTCCGGAGCTACTGGGGACTGAGGGCCAATTCTTACGTGTATCTGTCATAAGACAGCAGCTAATAAACAAAGTAAATGAAGTAAGTGAAATATTTTAACTACATACAAGTAAACATATCAAAAACTAAATTCATGATCATCAGCAAAAATAAAATTAGAGACGCCCAACGGCTTATCAAGAATACACCAGTGGACCGAGTAAAACAGTTTACCTATATTGGAACAATAGTAAGCGAACAATGGGATCACTCACAAGTAAAATGTAGAATAGAGAAGGCTAGGGAGAAACGATGGAGAAAAAACTTGAAGCCTTCGAAATGTGGCTATACAGAAGAATCTTAAGGATATCATGGACGGACAAGATAGCCAACGAGACTATACTACCAAGAATGGGGAGAGAAAGAGAAGTGATGTATACGATTAAAAGGAGAAAGTTAGAATATCTCGGACACATAATGAGAAACGGAACTAATTACAGATTACTGAAAATAATCCTTCAAGGCAAAATATGGGTCAAAACTGGTTCTCCACAACAACAACTAACCTATTTTAATCATCAGTTAATAAAATAATTATAGCCAGAATAATTGCCAATATTCGAAATGAATAGGCACCAAAAAAAGAAGATATAGTGTACACAGTGTATACTCCACTTTCTCCTTTTACCTTTTCCATAAACCAACTTACCCAATGATGCAAGCAATAAATAATAATATTGATTACAAGATAACAAGATTAAAATAAAAATATAGACTTACTTTAACTTTTGTTGTGTGCAGAAATTGATGAAACGTGGCTCTTCGTGACCTATGAGCAGTATCAGCTTCCTTATCTGTACCGAATCCGTCTTCACTATTTATTCGGCTGCGATATTTAGTATATGCCGTATGTTCATCCGCACAGGCCTGATAGAGAGCTTCTTGATGACCTTCCAAATTCATTACAAAATTGTAAATAGAGATCAAATGTGCAAAAAGTTGCTAAAAGAAAAAGAATCATTAGAAAAATTGCAGAATTAAAGTTACGGTTATATCTATTAATTTAGCTAATTTTTGTCGAAATAACCTTATTTTTCATGTTGTATGTTAATTTGTGTATCAAATTGTTAATTGTTATTAATTATGTTTGACCACAGATCTAGAACTGGCCATCTCTTCGCAATGAAGAGAGAAATAAGGCTCCTGCAGGCCAATCTTCAACATGCAAAAGCCGCATCGGCAACGCTAGATAGAAGAGTGGAACAAGAAGGCATTGATGTGGCCCTATAGGAGCATTGGAGGATAGGTGAGAAGATTGTTGGCCTATCAACCAAACAAATTAAGGTTTTATACACACCCAAAGGTATAAGGCCAAGGTCGTGTATAATTCACAGTAATGCAGTAGAGTGTAAACTAATCCCGGTGCTCTGCACCGATGATATTGTTACAGCTGTTCTATAACCACGGAAGTAGGAAAGAAGAAACTGGTGGTGTGTTCAGCCTACTTTCCAGGTGATGAGGCTCTGTGTCCACCAGGCGACACTAAACGACATGGTTGCATATTGTCTAGGAAAACAGCTCATTATAGGATATGATGCCAACGCACACCACACCATATGGGGCAGCACAAACATCAATGCAAGGGGTGAGTATATTTTGAATTTCATCTTATCTACCTTATCTGAAGGTTTGGTTATATCCAATATAGGAAACAAGCCAACTTTTGTCACTAAGGCACGCAAAGAAGTGTTGGATTTAACACTTTGCACGAGCAAGATAAGTGGTATATTAACAAATTGGGTTATGTCTGACACTCATGTTCGGATCACAGACATATACAATTTGACCTTGATATTTTTCAATCAGGAATTAAATACAGAAATCCTAGAGATACAAACTGCAAAGGATATAGGGAGTCCCTCAGTAAAAATCTCGGGGAAAGTATAATCTTGTTTAAGGTCCAGAGGTTATAGATTCGAAGGCAAAAACGATAAGCAAAGCTATTATGGCGGCTTACCAGTAGAACTGCCCAGAAAAACCAAAGAAAAGTAGGGGCAGTAATATAGTCTAGTGGAACAACGGCTTAAAGAGGATGAAGTCCGAAGCCTATTTAATAAAGCTAAAAGTAACCAAGATTGGGATACCTACAGGTATAAGCTAACGTTATGTAATAAAGAAATTCGGAAAGCTAAAAGGAATTCATGGAAAGAGTTTTGCGAGAAGATTACAGATTACAGATGTTCTCGAATCCATAAAGTCCTGGCAAAGGATGGTGCTACAACGAAAGAAGTAGGTTTCCTAAAGAAAGCTAATGGCAAATTTACGGACACCAAAAAGGAAAGTCTTATAGAACTGATAAAAACGCACAAAAAACCAACATAGAGCAAAGGCTCACTAGGCCAAGGTCTACAGATTGGGAAATAGCCGCAGCAATCACAAGATCAAATAGAATTAGATGGGCTATAAATAAGTTTCGGCCATATAAGTCTCCAGGGACAGATGGCGTATATCCAATACTGTTGCATATGGGATTAGAGGTATTGATACCACACCTATGCAAGCTCCTCAAAGCCAGTTTAGCATGGGGCGTCGTACTGGAAATATGGCAAAAGGTTAAAGTCATATACTTGCCTAAGGTAGGTAAAGTATCAGACCTAACACCAAAGTCATATAGACCGAGAAGCTTAACTTTTTGTCTATTAAAAACGCTGGAAAGGCTTCTTGATGGGTACATCAGAGACGAAGTGCTAAAAAATAATCCTCTAAGCAATCTTCAATATACATACCAATTTGGTAAATCTACGGACTCTGCGTTGGATGATCTAAATAGACTTATCTCAAAGTCAATAGAAGATAAAGAGAAAGTAATGGCCGATTTTTTAGATATAGAAGGGGCATTTAATAATGTTACTAGCAGCTCTTTGATAGGTGCTATGAGTAGACGAGGCGCACCTGCGGTAATATGCAGATAGATAAGGGGTCCCTGGAGAATAGGACAATAATGCCCACTCTGGGTAAAGCAATCATCAAAACAAAAGTAGGTGAAGGCTGTTCACAAGCAGGAGTTCTGTCCCCTCTACTTTGGACAACTTTGGTAGATGATCTCCTCAGAAATCTGTCTCCAGAAGGCTTTTATTGTCTAGGATATGCTGACGATATAGCAATCGTTGTCAGGGGCAGGTTTGCTCAGGTGGTGTCTGAGAGAATGCAAGCAGCTCTAAATATAGTTTGATATAAAGTTGAATGCTCGAATAAATGAACTTTGAAAAATAAGGCTATTATCGAGCACAATTTTAACAATTAAATCTTGCCCAAGTACTTTCGCTTACTACAGCATCTTCAGGGGCATTTCGTCAAATTTGGGCTATACAGCAAGCGTAGAATGTGTTAAATGATCATTCTCTCTCCTGTTATTGACAAAGAATGTAGAGCGTAGAACCATTTTAATTAATTTTAAAGTGTTTGTCCTTGGTTTAGTGTAGTGTTTTGTACAATTTTATGTTAAAATTCATGTTTATCACATTCTACGCTTGCTGGATAGCCCAAATTTGACGAAATGCCCCTGAAGATGCTGAAGATGCGAAAGTTCTTGGGCAAGATTTAATTGTTAAAATTGTGCTCGATATTTGTCTTTCATTTTTCAAAGTTTACTAAATATAGTTGATGACTGGTGTAAACAAGAGAGACTGATAGTCAATGCTCAAAAAACACAAATCGTCAACTTCGCCAAAAAAAACAGCACTAAAAAAAAGTCCTAAAACCATCGGTGCTGGGAGGTATTAATTTACCTTGGGGTATATGATCATAGGCTTACATCGAATACTGACATTCTGAAAACCACACAGAAAGCTACTATGTCCCTGGGCATATGTAGAAGAATGTGCGGTAAGAATTGGGAACTTAACCCCAAAATGACTCTATGGTTATACACAAGTGTTATTGGACCCATGATAACCTATAGCTCGGTGACGTGGTGGACAAAGACGTAGCAAGTGGGAGCACTAAGGCTGCTAAGTAATACACGGTAATACGGTGGCCATAAAAAAACTCCTACTGCATCGTTAAAAGTCCTGCTGAATCTACCACCACTTCATATTTTTATACAGGGCGAAGCCAGATTAGTAATGCACAGATTAATCCATAGTCAGCGACATATAAGCCAGATGCATGGTGCTGACAACAGAAAGCTAATCGAGGGGCTAAAAGCCGATATTGTCATGGGGCAACATATCGATGCAACAGCTACGAGATATAGTTTTAACAATAAGTTCACAATTAAGACACCAGGCAGGAAGGACTGGAATAAAGGTGTACCCATACATGCTGCTACCTGGTACAGGGATGGCTCAAAAACATCGGAGGGTGTGGGAGCCAGCATAGTAGGAACAAATCAAGGGATACATTTCCCGGTAAGTCTATCTAAAAATCTAAATATGTGTGCCCCAAATAAAATAGGAGACCGTAGAAAGGTTACGATAGCCTGGGTACCGGGGCACGAGGGTCACAAGGGCAATGAAAAAGCAGATGAAATGGCCAAACAAAGGCTCATCAATGCCATTCATTGGACCGGAACCCTTCTACGGCGTTGCAAAGTTATAAACAAAAAAGACTACAAGGAAGTGGGTAGCTCACAAATCACTGGAATGGTGGAGGAATTCACCAGGACAAAGACAGGCGAAATAGTTCATTAAAAAACATTCGCCAAAATTTATGGCAGACCAAATAAGCAAAGACAGGAAAACAGTCAAAGTCATAGTAGGTCTTCTAACAAGGCACTCTAAGCTGAGTAGGCACGATTATCAGATAATGACCTGTGCAGATACTGTCACCTCGAAGAAGAAACAGCAGAGAACATTTTGTCAGTGTGACAGTCTGGCAAATGTGCGGTTTTTTGCATTAGGAGAAGAATATCCACCGGCAAATAACTACATGGAAGTTACAGTCTCGAAGCTACTAGACAAAATATTAAAAAATGAATTATAATTAAAACAAAAATATGTTCAAGAAAATTTATAATAACTATACTATACAAAAAAATGTCTTTTAATGTCATTTATTTGAAATAAGTAAATTTAAACTATACACAAGTTTTAATAACACAGTACAGAAATTGTTGAACTAATATATTTATGATTAATATAGGTACAGTTATTAAAATGCAAATCACTGAAATATAGGCATCATAATATCTTATAAAATTTATCTTGACAAAGATGAAACGAAGTATAAAACTGTAATACATTGTAAATTACTTCAGAAACAAACAATTAGTTAATGTTATTGTCGGTTAGTTTGGCTTTTTAATGATTTTTTAGCCACCAATGTTAATGTTATGAGTTATCCACCAATGAGTTAATTCTTCAATTTAGCAAAAACTTGTCTTAGTTATGCCGACAGTTACTTTAATTTTATCAGGACACGTGCTCTTACTTAATAGAGTAAATCCAAGATATTTAAATTTATCAAGGATTTGTTTGCTGGACGTATATAAGAAGGAAGATTTATTGATATTGATACCAAACTTTACAGGAAAATCCAAAATCGACCTTATTTTGCGTCAAAAAACTCAATAAAGTATGCAAATACTTACCCTAGAACCTTCATCCAAAAGTACCCCCCTTTGTACTGAACTGAGAAATCCTGAATGCGCAATTATTATATCATCTAAACTTTCAGCTTTATTTACTTGATTTTGCATTTCCGCCCAAGAACATTCTAGTACTTCAAAAAGAAAATAATATTGTGTCTGGTGAAGAAAATGGATCATCTTACTTGTTAAAATGTGAATGATATGCATTACTGGTTTTAGTTCTGAAAATAACGTAAATATAAAAATTTCGGACGATGCCAGAAAGAAAAATATAAATACTGAATCTAGGAGGACAAATTCGTTAAACTTCTCGTGCTCGAATCGGTATCAATATCACTCGGGCTGATACAAATTCAAACTCGAAAAGTCCAACGAATGTCTCCTAAAACTTGACCACTACAGTGGTTTGCGTACTGAGGTGCCACCCGCTTTGGCGGTCATGAACGAAAACGATTTAATAATATCGTTTTCTGTATAAATCTTTCGGAACATTTTATTCGCCTCTACGGGGAGGAATTTTACCAGCTTACTAAATCATATAGCATCTGCTGCCACGTAAGAATCGTCTTCTTTGTGATTTAACATTCCTTAAAGCCTGCCGAGATCATAAATTCATTCCCAAATTTCTAAACCTCAAACACCATACTTCTGCTTCTATCTCTCAAATTCTAAGAAAAACCAGTTTTGCGCTCCTCCGTGAAGCTATTCCGTGAACTAGGCGAAAACTATATTTTCAATACCTGGTCATCTCAATTCATTCTTTCAATGTACATCCTATATTATGGGACAGTTTCGACTGTATGAATATACAGATAGCCGTAAACACTTTGGAATCTAAGACTGAAACTCAGAAGTGCAAATTAATTAGCACATCGAAAAAATTCTAAAAAATCTCAACGTTGGAACCCACTGCAGTGGTTCATAACTTTTCTGATACCCCTATTTCGACCATTGCTACTCAAGCTTTAGCAAAAGGTTTTAATTACTCTGGTATCCCAAATCACATTCCAATTCTATCTGTCAAACTGAAAAAGCCATCTAAAATTTATCTTCCGAAGATACTGAAATAACTAGACAATACATCGCTAGAGTTCTTAGAAACTCAAAATCTCTTCCTCCGAACATTAGCCAATCCAAGAAAAAGCCCTGAAAGAACAACAAAAAAGATAAAGGCAATGCCACTGTCATCCTAAACACTTCTTGTTACAGTAATAAACTCTCAAATCTCATTAATACTCCAGACTACAGACCAATTCCTAATAATCCAACAACCTATTTGGAGAAAACAACAAAAGCCATTATCAATAAAACGTCACTTCCTAGTGACATAGAGAGCAATCTCTAATTCCTCGTGAGAAGTCTTCCAGAATACCTCGAATATATGGCCTATCCAAAAATTCACAAACCCAACATTCCTCTACGTCCCATTGTGAGTGCATACAACTGCCCTACACAACCATTGGCCAAGTACTTGACCAAAACTCTACAACTTCTCGCTAAAAATGTTTCATCCTTCGTCAAAAATTCTTTTCATTTCAATATATCTCATCTATCTCATCGTCAGACATTCTAATAAGTTTCGATGTCGTTTCACTCTTTACAAACATTCCTATATACGAAACTCTAAACATTCTGAAAACTAAATATGATATCCACTTATCTCTCATTAAACATTGTACGTCCAACACTTATTTCATCCTCCAAAATCAATTCTACAGACAAATAAATGGTGCCCCAATGGGCTCCCCACTATCTCCAGTAATTGCAAATATTTATCTGAGTGTTATACATACTAGTATCCAGTTCACGAGCGAGGTGGAAACTGATTCATCCCTACCGTTTCTCGACGTTATCATAAAGAAAAACCAATACTAAGGTTTTCATCACTCTGTTTATCGAAAACCCACCCATACCAATAGTTACTTGCATGCTAACTCTCATCATCCACCTTCACAAATTAATTCAGTCATTAATACCCTTGTCTCCAGATCAATACGCCTTTGCGATGATGGCAGTAAACCCGCTGAGCTCTCTAGTTTAAAACAAGCCCTCATCCAAAACAGCTACCGCGAAAATCACATTAATAGGAGCATCTACAGACATCAATCACCTACTCAATCTTAACCCGAAGACTCAGACCCTCATCATACGAAACCTTTTCTTCCTTACATCAAAGGTGTCATCGACAAAATCGACAAAATCGACGAAATTCTTAAATCAAGAGGAATAAAGACAATATTTACCCCCCAACAAAAACTTTCATTTCTTGTCCGATCAATTAAAGACAAAATTCCGAATGAACAACACGGAGTTTATGAAATTCCTTGTGCAGGTTGTCCCCGATCCCATATAGGCCAAACAAATCGCAAAATCTAAAATAGGATTTATGAACATTCCATTTCTGTTCGCAATTCCGATTCAATTTTTCTTTACTAATTTATTAACAATACGAAAACACTACAATTGGTTAAATGAATTACTTTGCTTTCTATAATACGGAACGCGAGAGAAAGAGAGAGAGAGAAAGAGAGAATAAAAAAGAGAACTAAAACATTTTTGGTGTGCTAGGGAAAAAACTGCTGAGAGTGATGTTCTTCTTTGAGTTACTTTATAAGACAGAGGGTGAGGAAGCGGAGGTGATTTTGGTAAGGAAGCGAAAGTTATCTGAACGTCAAGGAGTTATATCCTTTGACAACATAAGGTATTTGGATATCTGACAATTTACAGGGTTGTCGGTAATTGCATTTAAAATAAAAGAAATTTATAAAATTATAGTTGGTTTATCAACAACCGCTTTAACGTCTGACTTAAGGAAAATAAATTCGACACACAACAGTGCTTTAGTGTTATGCTTGGGAGTATTCAAATTCAGTCCAGCAGATAGTTTCTATCATGAAGCCAATAAACCTCCACTTTGGATTAGAAGTCAATATCTGCTGCTGAATTATACTGCTGGAATATCAGCACCTGTTAATAACTTAGTCCACCCCATTTCTATAATATTTTATCCTACTACCTCCAAGCTACCCACCATTCGACATCTGGTCTCACCTCTTTTATTAAACGTAGACTTAACTACTATATCACCTAACAAAATTTCCCCTCTTCCATCACGGAATAAAACTCTTCCAAAAATAAACACCGTCCGATATAACCATCCAAAGCACAATATGCACTGTTTAACATTCTTTTCTTAATATTGTAAACAAATCCTGCTTTGATTGGATAAGGATTGAATTTTTCATTTCCAGAAGCTGTCGTTTCAATAAGACGGCGCAACGTGTCACACAGCTCGTGCCACAATTGATTTATTGAAAGAAACGTTTGGTAGCTGCATAGTTTCACGTTTCGGACCGTGAATTTTCCTCCAACATCGTGCGATTTAACACCCCTAGACTATTTTATGTGGGGATATGTAAAGATGTTGATCTAAGCCAATAAGTATGAATCGATTGACCACTTGAAGGACAACATTCGCTGTGTTGATATAAAAATATTGGAAAAAGTGATCAAAAACTGGACCTCCAGATTAGACTACGTCAGAGCCAGCCATGACGGTCATATATCAGAAATCATATTTAAATTATAATGCCAAAATATTATCTTTCGAATAAAGTCAATTTCAAATCAATTGACAAAAATCATCTTTGTTTTATTCCATTTCAAAGTTCTACACCTCTAAAAAAAAACACCTTTTATATACTGACGGCTCTAAAAACAATGACAAAATTATTTGCGAATTCACGTCTTCGAAAAATGTCAACAAAATGTCATGACACGTGTTTCTCCAGTTATCTGCACTGACTCACGAAGATATGTTAACTCGATAAAAATATTTACTCCAGGTACCAAATTGATAAATCTATCCAAACTACAACATTGAAAATCATCTGGGTATCCTCCCATAACGGAATTCACGGATGCGAAAACGTCGATCATGGAGCAAACGGAACGATATCATTAACCACTCATCCTGAAAGAATCTAAATTGGCAAATTTCAACAAAATTCTAATACGCTACTGTAATCTTTGACATCTGAAACTCCACAGGAAAGATAAGACTACGGATTGGACATACCAGGTTAACACATGGATATCGGATGGCATCTGACTTCCAACCTTTCTGACACTGTCTACTCTCCGTCAAGTCTTTTACAACTAAGCAGAAATCCTTAGCGAATTGTGCTTCTAGTACTCACACAGAGTAAATCCGAATAAAATGAAAAAAGGCAGCAAATATTTGATTTCACGCAAACAAATCCTATGTATACATACATACAAATATACATACATACAAATTTGCATTCCACGACATGTCTTTTACAACTAAGCAGAAACCCTTAGCGAATTGTGCTTCTAGTACTCACACAGAGTAAATCCGAATAAAATGAAAAAAGGCAGCAAATATTTGATTTCACGCAAACAAATCCTATGTATACATTGACCACTTGTATACATAGGATTTGTTGTAAAAGACATGTCGTGGAATGCAAATTTTAGATTCCCCATGTCTCTTTTAACATCTTTATCAACGTCTGTTTGCCTTACAATTTTTAGAAGGCTCAGATTATAAAGCAAAAATCTGAATTGTGTTTCGAAACTATTTTACGATTTTTAAAAAAATAATCATTCAAAAACTCTCACGTGTTATGAAAACTAACCTTTTATCCGTCTAAAAAGCTTCGCCATACAGATCTGTTGCCTCCTCATATTCGATAAAGCATATTCTGTCCTCTTCGCTTTCCATAAAGCTCCAAAAAGGCTCTGGTATGTCGGCATAGTGTGTTGAAATATGGTTCCTATCGGGCCGTCTACAATATACATAAGACTAAAAACATCCCATCCGGTGTCTCCAGAAGAATGGCTCATAAAACTAACATTAAGACGTTTAAGTGTATCTTCGTCTTCGTACTGTGCATTTGTTACCCTAATGGCTGATTCTAGTATGGCAGATAAGGTGTGCCCATAAATATTTTCGGCGGGCTTGTTCAGTTCTGGTCTAAAAATATAAAATATATTAAAAATGTATACAACGACAACTTGATTAGAAAAAAAAAGATAATATTTAAATACAATTGGATGTTAAAATGTCACGTCATTTCGGTCTAGTACGGATCACGACAATTTTTTTATGTTTGTCATGACTGAGTTTTCCTTATCTGCCAATAGGTTTTCATTTTAATGGAATGTGCATTTTTCCTTTCTTGTGACCACTTGCTAACGGGGCGAGGAGCTGGGATAGTGAGAGGGATAAAGTTCTTAGTTGATTTCACCTTATATCTGATATCTTTACGATCGTGGAAGTCTTCTTCTTAGGGTGCCTGTCCGTTACACCCTCCTTAATGTTGTTTATAGCAGCTTCTACTTCCGCTTCGAGAATAGGTGGTCCGGTATCGTCATTTTTATTTTGTGTGATGGTGACATTCCTATCGTCTTCAAATGTTGTTGTCACATAGTTCATCCATGTTGTTTTTGTTTCTTCAATATCAACTATTGGATTTCCTTGAGCGTCTGTTAAGTGTCCCGGCCTTTTTGATTTATAGATTTACAGCCTGCTGTTTGTTTGATCTTTTTTGGAGGTTCAAGGAATCGTGTTTACGTTCCAATATCTCGATTTCTTCACACTGTTCTTCCAGATTTATATTTTTAGCTTCTCTGGCAGCTTTTTTTATCACTTTGTCTAAAAATTGATATACAACGTAGTCTTTCCGCATGGAAAGACTACTCATACCTTCTAGGTGACAATAAAACATCATTCCCTGTTTTCTCATGTTGTTAATAATGTCTTCCAAGTGCTCATATAATGCAGGATTGTGTCTTCGACAGAATTCCTCATTTGCTTTAATTAGTTCTAAGACTTTTCCCAAAATGTTCCTATCTTTTAATTCAAAGGCTGAAGGCGTGATCGCTGTATTATAGTGACAGAGTTTTAAGTTTAAAGATAAGCTTTTGCTTTTGTACAGGTCTTTGCACAGATGAAATTCACCTAATTTTGAACATCTATTTTCAACATCGACTTTTTCTTGTTGTATTTTTATATAAGAGGGTGCATTCTTGATATTTGTAATAACCTCAGTTTTATTGAATGCTACTTTCAGGCCAGTTTTGGGGACAATCGATCGAAGGCTGGACAACTGAGCTTTAGCTTCATTGGCATTATTATCTAAAAGAGCCAGGTTATAGGTAAAATTTAAGCAGTTTATCTTCATAACCTTTTTTTGTGTTCAATTTGTATACTGTAACTTAGCGTTATAGTTGTTGTACACTCTCTAATAGTCTTTTCTAAGGCACAGTTAAACAGTAGAGGAGAAATCAAGTCTGCTCTTTTAATATATTCTACGTAGATATTATCTTTATGAGATGACAAAGTAATCAATTTGGATAAAGGGCTTATAAAGAGCTTCATCTATTATAAAGAGCTTCCGAATAGGCAGTTCCACTGATGACGACATAGTAGCCTTCGGCTACTACATACGAAACAAATTTATGTACTAAAAGAAACACAAACGACCTGTTTTGGACACAAAACCATACTGTATGCAATCTTCAAAGAGTTCCATCAAACTTATGACATTATTTATCCTGAATCATACTTACGCTAAAAGTTCTAGAAGATGTCTTATAAAATCACCCTGTCCCAGTAGCAGATATCTTCGAAGAGATTGTAAATGTTCGTATAACTTATATTTATTTTGAAGCAAATCTAACACCCTCACAGAGGTTTCTTTGTAAACATTTTCTAGTGTAGCGTGAAATTCTATACTTTGTTCTGGTGCAAAGAGAGCTTCGGCTGAAAAATAAATATATCATAAATATATGATTTTTTGTGTATGTGAGGTTGGTATTGAAGTGGTCCATTTACCACAGATATATGTACAACTCAAATTCTACAAAAAAAAATCATAATATTCCTCGGTTCCAGTATTCTGGAAATATGTAGTTGAGATTTAAAGGGAAACAGTCTAAACTCACTCTAATCTACCATTTTAAATTATATATCTTTTTTTTTGTATTAAACAGAAGATTTTACAATATAAACATTAGATTAAAGTAAAATAAAAAACATAAAACATAAAAATAAACATCAAATAGTAGGTGAATAATTTGTTATGGTATAGATAAAATATTTATGTCTGGAAGATATTATCTGGTTCGAAAAATATGAATACGAGGCAAAACTAATAAAAAAGCATCTTTGCGTCTTTTTTATTAATTTTTTTATTCTACATACGTTTAACACATTTAGCGCCACGCTGTAATTGGTTATTCACTCCCTGGGACCAAACATATGAAATGCCTTTTTTTTCTATAAATCTATTTTGTAACTGATAATTATTATATTTTAAACCATACTTTCTTTTTCCAACTTTGTTTTTTGTGATTTTTTTTTAATGCCCACCAGTGGTCACGTGGTCCCAGGATGTAATTTTACAGTGTGGGACCAAATGTCCACCAGTGGTCATGCATTTATTGTTTCTTTTGTTGTAGATTTTAAACAATAATGGCAAGAAGAGGTCTTACAGAAGAAGAATTGTTTCGGGAGTTGGAAAATTTGTCTGATGTTGAAGCAGAAGACTATTCCGACGACGACTCCACTGCAGATCGGAATTACTCATATGAAGGAAGCTCCTATTCAAGTGAGGATGAATTAGCTGTATCTGATGTCGAGGACGAAGCTGCTGAAGTTGTTCCTCTGGCCGATATTATACCCGAGACCAAGTGGGAGCCTGTGGCAGGAGACAGATTGAAATTTAATTTTCTTGCTGCCCACACCGGTGTACACGAAAATATAATCCAGAAACTTCGTAGTGCATCTCCCATAACTTATTTTGAACACTTCATAGACGATGAGATTATCTCATTGTTAGTGGAAGAAGCCAATAGATTTGCTGCGCAAAGAAATACTGCGAATGATGCTGCCCAAGCAGGAAGCCAAACTCCAAGACTTAATAAATGGGTTGACACTGATCCTATAGAGATGCGCAAGTTTTTGGGTATCGTTGTATGGATGGGACTTATGCATTTGCCAAAATTGAGGGATTACTGGAGCACAAAAAGAATTTATGAAAATGGAATTCCAAAAATAATGAGCCGCAATAGATTTGAGATGTTACTTTCGATGTTTCATTTATCAAATAATGAGCAGCCAATTAATCCAGAAGACAGGCTTCACAAAATCTCAAATTTTTTTGAACTTACTAGAAAAGAAATTCAAAGAATCGTATAATCCCGAAGAAGTTTGTATTGACAAAAGCAACATACCATTTCGAGGACGTATTTATTTCCGACAGTACTTCTTCTTCAAGTGCCCTGTCCGTTGCGAACTTTGGCTATTAACATGGCAATTTTGATCTTGTTTGCGGCGCTTCTGAATAGTTCGACCGATGTGAGCCCGAACCACTTCCGCAGATTTTGGAGCCACGAGTGACAGTACATTCGACAGTATATTCCGACAGTACATTCCTAATAAAAGGCATAAGTATGGGATAAAGGTTTTCAAACTCTGTGTTTCTGGAGGCTATACATGGTCGTTTAAAGTCTAAACAGGCAAAGAAAGAGCAGACGATGTATCAGTTGCCGAAAAATTGTCACGACACTGATGGAGGGACTTTTTGATACAAGTAGAACTTTATATACCGATAACTGGTACACTAGTGTTTCGCTGTCTAATAGTCTCATTCAACGGCAAACACATTTAGTAGGAACCCTAAGGACAAACAGAAAATATAATCCCCCAGATGTGGTAAAAACTAAACTGAGAAAGGGTGAAGTCGTGGCCCAACAAAACGAAAATAAAACAGTTGTCTGCAAAAGGAAAGATAAAAGAGATGTTTTTATGCTCAGTACCAAACATGACGACTCGTATGGTGACAGTAACTCGCAGAGGAGGACAAGAAGTTAATACACCAGCGATAGTTGTAGATTACAACAAAGGAAAAGCTTTTGTCGACCAGTCTGACCAGATGGCATCTTATGCGCCATACGTGAGAAGAATCGTCAAGTGGTATAAGCGACTCGCTTTTCATTTTGTTACTGCAACAGCTATGGTAAATGCTCTGCATCTATATAACAAAATTAAAACAACAAAATGGGCATAATAGAATTCAAAGAAAATATCATCGAGGCTTTGGTTTATCGAGATTTAAATCCAATTCTATCGAGGCCTTCCACTTCCAAGATAAAACATTTCCTGAAAGAATACGAGGGACAAAAGAGGGTTACCAGAAAAAGGTGCAGTGCATGCTACAAGACTATGTCTCAGCGACAAAATCCAGCTTATGCTCGTAAAAATGCGAAAAAAATAAATACATATTGCGATACATGTAACCTGCCAATGTGCCTCGAATGTTTTCAAAAACATCTGGCAACTATCTCATTTCCAAAAGTTTAATTTTTATTATTTTTGTTGTATTACTTTAACATTGCTGGTTTTTTAATGTTTTGCTCACTTTGTTCGTTTATTTGTATTAATATTAGGATAAAATTCCATTTATTTTTGTAATATACTATCTAAAAATACAAAATTGTATCAGTTTTTTGCACGGCTCAAAATCACAACTGATACATTCATTCTGCTCGGTCCATGTAAAATTCTGTTGTTTCCTGGGACCACTGAATACGTCAACATACGTCAAACTAATATAAATCGTGTCCACGGGTGACCACGGTGACTTGAAGCAACCGACATCAAATGCTCTCCGGTGGGCACTCGGTCTTAATGGAAATAATGAAAATACCCACCGGTGGGCACATGGCGCTAAATGTATTAAGAAACATTAACGATGAACGTTTGTTTGATGAGTGCATGAGCTCTCATTAGTACAATGATTGTATATTATGTTTCTGAGAGTTTCCCAGATTTCATTGATGAGTCGGCACACGTCACATGCGCGAGCTTGGCTCTTCATATGTGGCGTTTACTTTGTAATTTATTTGTATTAATCTATACAGGTTTGCTAATTCAAAACAAGGTTTGGATGGTCAAGTTTTCATGAAAATAAATGTAAGTTTTTGTATCTTAGGCTTGATACGATACAGCAATTGAATACTGTGAGAGGACCACTGTGAAATGCGGCAATCAAACTTATTTAGAATTAATTATTGAAACACCTCAAAAAAGTGGAAAAAACATGTTAGGTAGTAGTGAATATGTGATGAAAGGCTGTATCATTTCCGGTTTACCCCATATATTATAAATTACCGAAAAATATTCTTAATATTTTTGCGCCTCGGAGATTGATAATATAAACATTTTTAGTCGGTTTAAAATACAAATTGCTATTTCGTTAGACTTTGATTCGCTTGGATATTTACGCATCAAATAAATATGAATCTTTCCAATTAGGTTAGTGGGAAAGTGATGCGGGAAAGAGAATGATTTGGGTGAGGAGAACACTCTTCGATGGATCTTCTGCGAGATTAGTTGATTTAATTGTTAGTCATGACGAATTTGTCAAGTCGGGGATTGGAAAGTGTAGCAGTCAGAGAAGCAGATTGAGTTCTGAACGGGAAAGATCTTTTTAGATCGGTGATAGTACCAAAAAACCGGCAGAATTTTCGTTTAATTCCATGAGTTAGAAGGAGGTGAATTTAATCTCAAAATGCTATGTAACAGTCTGTGTAAAGTGAGATAATCACCGGTCTGTTGCTGTATTCCGTGCCACGGGTTTTGACCAAAACGGTGTTTGAGGGAAGTGAGGCCTACGTGATTTGAAGTGAAAATTAAGCAGCCCAGTTTTGAAGAATATATATATATATATATATATATATATATATATATATATATATATATATATACATCCTACTATCATTTTGGCATCGATACATTATGCTTTTACCATCAATTTAGCATCGTCTTGCAAAGTAGCATCTGTATATCGACGCTACTTTACAAGACCTTAATAACTTTTTTCATGTACTTGTTACAAGAATTTTAACCATCTCAATGATTAGAGATTTGATACCGTGTTGGTATTTTAAAATGTCCGCTTTCTCTTTTTATCCCTTACTGAGTTATATAAGTTTATTCCAGGAAATGTTTGAGTCTAAAATGATGGTACAGTGAAAATATTATATATATTTAGTTCAGGGTTTTACCGTCTACTCGCTGCCATTATATACATGAAAATGTATATCGCACTTTCATTATCAATCATTTTGGCATCAGAAATTTGGCATCGCTGTTGAATATAATATTACCCACAACGAAATGGTAAATTTAAGAATTTATATATATTTTTTTCATCCATAAATCATTCTAGCATCTTGTTTGATTAAAAATAACGGGTCATATATTGGGTATATATAACGGGGTATATATTGCATATTTTTGCTCCAATTGGTCCAGTCGTGATGTACAGCATCTCAAATGATAGGATTTAACCAATAAAATACAATAAGACAGAAAAGCAGCATGTCAAAAAGGCCTTAGTTATATATCTTCGTTTCTATAAGTCCAATCGTGACGTACAGTATCTCAAATGATAGGATTTAACCAATCGAAAACAATGAAATAGAAAAATCAAATACAGCAACATGTCAAAAGGGCCGTAGTCACGTATTTTTGATACTATTAGTCCAATCGTGACGTATAGTACCTCTAATGATAAGATTTACCGTAAGGAATACAATGGGATAGAAAAATGAAATACAGCACAATGTCAAAAGGGCCTTAGTTGTGTATCTTCGGTTCTGTTAGTCCAATCATGACGTGCAGTACCTCAAATGAAAGGATTTAACAAATAAAATACAATGAGATACAATGAGGTAATGGAGTTGCATGTCAAAAGG